TTTGATAGGGGCCAAGTGACCTAAGAGCTATTTTCCATCTCTAGCTTCTGTATGCTTTTGGTTTAGGGAACTGTAGTAACTGCCAGCATCTGCTTGTATCTGCTTGGGAGTTGGTTTCATTTTGGGTTTGCATCTCAACTACTGTGCTCTGCGACTGCGCCTTTGAACTCCAAATACCGATCTTCGTACTAAACCATTGCCAAGTAACCTGCCATTCTTCTCTTCCATGCTGCCCATCTAATCACCAGCTACGAGCACACAGCTCCTGCCTGCATGCCGTCAGAATGAGCCTGAGCTGCTCACGCCTCAACTCCAGCCTCAACATGAATTTTTGTCTCTGCAGGAATATCAGGGGTGGGAGGTGGGGGGAGTGGGAAATGTCACCAGGGCTACTACCAGTTCTCGTTATTGTTTGTATTTATATTTTTGGTTTCAACTTCTTTTCTCCCCGGAGGTTTTGATTCCACCAGTTTTGTTTGGGGTTGATTTGAAATGGGCTTTTCTTTTTTGTCACTCTCCCTCTTCTCATTTTGTTTTCTCCATTCTTTCATTGGAGGCAATGAGCCGTCCAGCGGTCGGAACTCCCCTGTCCCTTACCGGCCCGACAGCCGCCCTCTCACTCCAACTTACGCTCAGGCCCCTAAACATTTCCATGTTCCAGGTAGGAGCTGGCACTGTATGTGTCTCGGTGTGCTGTCACAGTGTAGAATGTAGCCTTTGTAACTTTTGTCTTGTCTCCATCGTTTCACACTGTTTACCATGGGGTACACCCTCAGGGTTTGGAACTGCTCCTGGGCTTGCTGCAAGGAGTAGTGAGTTAAGAAATGGGGGGGTGCTCACTGTGATTTTTGCCTCTTCTGTTGGTCAGTGTTTCACCCTTGGTTCTCCGGGTGTGTTGGTGGCCTGTGAGCTGGATATGAGCTATGCAGGGCTTGATTTTTTCCCCTAGTTGCACCGGTTGAGCAATGGCGTAACTCTGGTAACTTTGGAGGAGTTGGTTTTGGTTCACATGTAGAACAGAGTAGACAAGTGAGCCATTGCATATGTTGTTCCTTCAGATTGTTGTGACTTGTTTCAGTCTTGAACCCAACAGTTCTAGTTTAGTGTTCCCTTCTTTTAAAGCAGACGAGGAAGTTTCTTTACTTGTTTTGTGCAGTGGTTTGCTGTACTCAGAAACCCTCAGATCCACAAGGATCTTAGAATGTCCTCTCTATAAAGGGCAGTCTCTGTTTTGAAGTGAGCAGCACAATCCTTCCAGCCTCTGAGAAAATCATCTGTCTTGGATTTTGATGGGATGAGAATGTATGACCTGAGGGTTGTGGACATGCATCTTTCACTTGCATCAGTTGCTACGTGAAAGCCTTATTACATCCAGTTATTCTCCAGGTCCCCTACAGTCTAGTGTCCCTTTGCACTGCCAGAGGTTACTGTTCTTCCTCTTTTCCTCAGACCTGGCAGATAAACTGTTTGTGGGAAGTTCCCTTTCAGTCAGTGTGACCTGGCTTGGCTAAGGTAGGCTGGTTTAACTGCTTAAGCTAACCTGGCTCACTTGGACTAAAATGCACTTGCATGAATAGCTCCGAGTAATACCTCTAGCATGGTGGGAGAGTGTCCTCCAGCTGGAGCAGTGCAGCCACAGAAGGAGCTGTGTTCCTGCGCCCTTACAGCTTCCTGCTAGATGTGCGCAAAAGTTCAGCATGACCGCCCTTGCGATGTTTGTACCTATCTGCTGGTCAAGTAGCCATAACAGATCACTAACAGCAAGGAAATACCTCAGTGTCTTTGTATGCAATGAATTTGCTTGCTTAGTCAAGGATGTAGGGTTCTGCAGGGTAAGATTTGCCTCTGTTACAGTAGATTTTTAGGGTTAGCTTGCCTTAACGCCAAAGGCTCAGTTGTCTCCTGTAGCATTTGAATCTGTGATACACAGCATGTATTTCTAAAATGCTTTCTCATCTTCCAGTCTAATGTAACTGAAAACTTTCTTCAGGCAGTATGAAGTAGCAAAATGGGTTTCTGACATTAATTTTCTAGTTCCCAGTAGCTCATTTTGGTCTTCTAATAGGATTTTGTCAGATTTTTCCACTGTAGCACTGATTTGCATTAACTTTTGTGTATGAGTTGTGCTGAATACATGAAGTGTTGGCTTGGAATGAACCAATTCCTGGCTGAGATTATTATTTGTAAAATATGGTATCATTTAGACATGCTCTAGATTACTGCGATAGAGTTCTAGGAAGTGTTTTTGTTCTGATTTCCACTGATAATGTGCAATATGGTGGGCCCTACATTAAAGAGAATATGAAAAAGAAATAAAATCCATCCTTGTGATTTGAGAATTAGCATTTTATCAGCACTGCATAAAGTATCCCTTTGACTCACTGAAGTGTAGCTGTGGTTGACTGTTAAAAACAGTGTGTCAGGCAGCTATTTTGTTCTCTGGGATTTTGAAGTGAACTGTAGGCTCACTGCATTCTCCTCTGCTCAAGCCAGCCAGCCAGTTGGAGGGAAAATTGAACTGTTGTGACTGAAGCACAATTTTCCACAAGTTATTTGGGCTGGTTTTCCCCAAATGGCTTCTATCTTCACCATTGAAATGTCTTTCTTGTGTGCATTTCTTCTGACTTTTATCCCACTGGTAATCTTCTGAAAGCATAAAATTAATGGGTCATGACTTGGATGCATCTACATGTTACAGAATCAGCTCCAAAGGACTTCATACCACATGTCTTTGACTTTCACTCGTTCTTATGTTTTCTGTTTTCTGATTTTGTATAATACTAGAAATAGCTTTCTGGCTTTTCCTTCTGCTACATCCTTGGTTTGGTCTGTCTGTTGTTTTAGTGTAGGAGTTACCTGTATCTACAACTGAAATGGTTTTCATATTCCCATTTTTCTGTTTCTTGATTTCACAGATCAAGGTGTCAACATTTACAGAAAACCACCCATCTACAAACAACATGGTAAATGATCTTTCCCTCTTCATTTCAAACCTGAAATTAAAAGGCATGCAGACTAGTAAAAAACATTCAGTTATTACTTTGTAAGCGTAAAAAATCAGTAGCCGAAGTTTGAAAAAGCTGTTATTGCATGTCCTGCTGAGTGATTACGTTTTAAAGCATGTTGTTTCCTTTGGACCATATGGTTTAAATCTTGGCCATGTTGCTATTAATGGCAAAATTGCTATTAAGAGGGATTTTGCTGTCTCTTTAGCATTATGTTTCCTTCCTGTATTTAACTTCTTCAAGTTTATATTTTCAGAATACAGGTACTGATCATGTTAAAATGGATTAACAACAAACTGTTCTCTGACAGGGACTTTGTGGAATACCCTTATTTTAAACTGACAAAGAACAATAATGTAACAGCAAAGATGGAGATGCAATTAGTCTGGAATTCCAAATGTATCTCTGGCTTTAAATAAGATATGATAATATTAATTGTGGAAGATGATAAATTGACTTGTCACTGACAGGGCTAAGTGGATTCTCAAGCCCTGTGATACAGGTAGTATGCTGTACTTGTTTTCCCAGGTGCTTGGGTTCCAAGTTGGACAACAGTGTTTGCTCTCTCAGGTTTTCAGTGTAGACATTGTATAGCAAGTCTGAAATACCAACGATCACAGAAGCCCACTACCTTGCCAGTCTCTACTATTGCACAGCAAGGTCCTGGTTGTAACAGAGTGTGTTCACTCTGCCTTTCTGCTGTCAACAGGAAGCTCTGAATAGATGACTTTTATGTAACGTGGTGACAGATGGATGACTCCACTTTTTAAAGACTTTCAGTTTTCAGCCCTTTGCAAACCCTTTATCCAATGAAATTCATTTAGGGTTAAGTAGCAAATCAGCAGTTCTACATGGTTTAGATGAACAGTTGGCTGAGAGCCATTGAGCTGAGATGATTAGGAAAGCCCAGAAAGTCCATTCTCTAATCAGGAGTAAGGGTTGCAAATAACACTGCTGTGGTATTACATCAGGGGTTTTTTCTCTTTGTGTTGTAATTTTCAAACCATATCCTCATTTTGGAAAAGTCTTAACGTTATTTCTGTTTATTTTTATGGTTTTAATGTGTCTCCTCACCTCCCATTAACATGTGAATGTTTAACCACTGACATCACCAATTCTAATACGTAAGTACTGTTTGAAGTCAAGCTTCTGTAAACTCTGACCAGCTTCTTCCATACCTGCAATTATGCTTAGAGTTTCCCAGTCATAAACTGCTCAGAATTCCCAATTAATCCTAATACTGATGTTCCTAAACTACCCTGAAAGTGTTGGATAAGCCACAGAGTGCTTCGTTTCATTAACAGATGTCTTGCTCTTAAAAGAAAAAAGGAAAGAAAAAGTTCGGAATCTTTGCTTCTACTACAACAACTTCATATAGGAGAAGGTGATTTGAGCTAATAGTTGGCAGATAAAAGGGAGTTAAGTCTCTTTTTGATGTAAACTGAATCCTATTGGATTTTTTTTTTTAACATCAAGAAGTGAAAGCCATAATGCACATCCTCCCATGCTTTTAAGAGACTTTGGCTTAGGCTGGAACCCTACGTGGATGCCCCAGTGCTGAGTCATTTTATTGGTGAGGTTTATTTTATTGCAAATGCCTTTCCCTGCAATGTTAATCACAGGATCACGGAATAGTTTGGGTTGGAAGGGACCTTAAGGCTCTTCCACTTCCAACTCCCTGACACGGGCAGGGACACCTTCCACTAGAGCAGGTTGCTCCAAGCCCCTGTGTCCAACCTGGCCTTGAACACTGCCAGGGATGGGGCAGCCACAGCTTCTCTGGGCACCCTGTGCCAGCGCCTCAGCACCCTCACAGGGAAGAATTTCTTCCTTGTATCCAACCTAAATCCCCTCTGTCAGGTTAAAGCCATTCCCCATTGTCCTGTTCATATTCCTGTTCAGATTTCTTGTTGGCCCCTTTATGCACTGGAAGTTGCTCTAAGGTCTCCTTGGAGCCTTCTCTTTTCCAGGCTGAAGACGAGTGGATCTGAATGGAGTTTAGTATTTATTAATAAATTCACATCTGCTTTTACTAGTACTCCATGCTACTAAGCAAGGGCATGCAGCAGAAATTATCCACTGGTTAAATAAATATACTTGTTTCAAATTTCTTTTTTTGTTTATTTTGCAGCTTTTCCCAGAAACATAGGAAATAATTAGCATCACTAGAGTTAAAATTAGTGCTGTTTCTGTGAACTATTTGTTTCCTTGCCCTACAGAGAAGGCAGATCAGTACATAAATCTGGTTTCACCTTCATTAATTATCAGCTGTCCTTATGAGTTATTGGCAAATACTCCTAGATAGGATTTTCTCACTCTTGCCTAATCATTCCAACGCTGGGCAACTCTAGTAAAATCCAAAGCTGATTTGGGGTTATTTTGGGGGTGGGAATGAGGGAGGAAAGTTTGATTCTAATCTATTGGCAAGAGAAAAACATCACTTTGAATCAAATTGCAGTTAGTAAAGCAAAACATGAAAATGGTTTTGCTTTTGATGACTAACCTCTTGTAAAGCATAAAATTTAGACAAAATAAGGGAGAGCTTTGTATTGATGGACTATTATATAGCTAAGTTCCCTGATTGCCATCTAGATGCAGCTGCTTTGGCAGCACAGAGCAAGTCCTCCGAGGATATCATCAAGTCCTCCAAGTTCCCAGCAGCTCATGCACCAGCACCCAACGAGATACCAAAGATTGAGACTGACCACTGGCCAGGTCCTCCCTCCCTTGCAGCCATAGGTATGCAAACCCAAATGGTACAAGCGATGCGGCTTACAAGGTACTGGTAACCAAAGCAGATTAATGCTGGAGCTGTAAAAATGGGGAGTGAAGCTTGTGTCCACTCCAGGTGTTCACCATGAAGTGCAGTTGTTCTGGTGAGGCCTCCGAGTGCCTGTGAATTAGAGTTCATTGAATTAGTGCTAAGTAGAAGAGGTTGTGCTAAAGGACTTTAGGATTGACCACACAGATATTAACCCATAGACAAATTATGTGAACTCCTGTGTAGGAGCTCAGAAATGTAGTGTGTCACACAAGCCTGACTTCTTTCAGTTAATGTCTATTTAATCCTTTAGTCCTAAGCTAATAGCAAATATTCCACAGGAAATATGGTTGCTTCCAACCATACGACTAATTTCATGGCAAAAAGCAATAACTGAAGTCAAAAATTAATGGACTAAAAAAGTCCAGATTTTCAGTTACTGTTTCTACAAACTTTTCATTTTTATTCTGTGTTGTAGCACTAGAGGTGTCTTACTTTCTTTTACTTAAATCATGCACATCATAATTTTTTATTTCTCTGTTTTGTATTTTTTTTCCTCTGTTAATTTTGATTGACCCCTAGAGCATCAAATCCACCATCTAGACTGATTCATTTATGAAGTCATGCCTGAAACACTGAAAGTGTTGCCTGTTTCAGGTTTCCAGGAGGGAGTGTAAGGTTTGCCATCACAATAGGATTTTCATAGAAGTGTTGGGAGAGAAGACATAGGGTGGGAGAGCTCAATGACCGATTGAAGGGGCTACCTCTGCAGTGGCAATGCTTTGAAAATGTCCTTTATGTAGGATTACAGCCTTACAAACATTACAGTCACAATGATAACATCTAAATATTAAAAACTCTCCTGACAGTGCTTGTGATAACTACAGCATTACTATGTTGTGGGTCTAAGGTGCAGCCTTTGTTGGAAATTTTGGCTTTCAGCTCAGTCACTAGGCAGTGGATGACAACTCTCAATGGTTTCCAGTAGAACTGTTTTCTATTGTTATCCACCAGGTGATATTGTTACACCCAAGAGAATAAACAGGACTGTTTGGAAACTGTAAAGATAAAAATGTGCTCACGGACATATTTTATTCATATCCTAGAAGATTAAAAACAAAACCCAAGAAAACACAAGCCCCAGATTTTGCAGCTTCTTGGCTGATTTTCTGAGTATCCTGCTTATGGAGTTGGAATGAGTTCAACTGCCAAAAAAAAGGAGTGTTACTGCTATAGTACTGAAAAGTCTTGCAAAAGCCTGAGTTATCAAACAAAATAGTAAATAACTTCAATACAAACAAATAATTCCTCTTTAACTCTCTCTCTCCATATCAGCATCAATTTAACACTGCTGCACATAACATTTAATTGATAGAAACCTTCTGAAACTTTAGTTACAAAATTTAGTTTTCACTCATATAAAGCACTGAGTTTGCCTATCGTGGAGTTGGTGAATAACTGTATCAGGCCTGTGCAGAAAAAGATAGAACTGCTGTCTAAATGCTTGCAGCAATATCATATTCTGTGTATTCGTGGAAGTGACTTGGTGTCCAAATAGAACTATTTCTCAAGAATATTCAAGAAAATAAAGATTAGGGAACTAAAGTGTAGAACACCCATGTCTTAATCAAATCTAGCTTTATTCAATGGATCAGATTAATTTGCTTTGTCTTAGACTTAAACCAATGCCTTATTCCATATAGGAGTGTCTATTTAGAATATTAATGTAGTTTAATTTTCCATTTGAAATGTTAATTCAGATTTGCTTTCCTGAGTCTACATAAAAGTATAAATGTAAACTAGCCTGTATGTTTTCAGCCACTGACAGGGTTTGTGGTGCCATTAAATCCCATGTTTCCAGAATCTGAGCTCCTTTTTTTCACCTTAGTGGTCCGTGGCTTTTGTATCCAGGACTGTAGCTTGGTTTGGAACTCGTGCAGTTCAAGTTCTTGTGAATTTTACAAGAAGCCTGATAGCCATAGGGCAGGCTATCATCTGAGTAAGTTTTATTAAGAGAGAGTTTTCCAGAAGTCTTTTGAGTCTGCAAGAAAATACTTCTTGGTTTATTCAGTAATAAACTAGCACTGAAATCTTCAAGCTGCGGCTGAACTGAGACACAAAGCTCTCTTTGTACTGTGGTTTTATGGAAGCAGGAGCTGACATGAGACGCAGATCAAGTGGAAGAGAGGAAGATGATGAGGAGCTACAGAGACGCCGGCAGCTGCAGGAGGAGCAGCTCATGAAGGTGGTTATAAACTTGTCTTCATGCTGTTTGTGAACACCATCCAGAAATTGCCCCTTTGTTTTCTGTAAGCGATTTCTACCAATGCCTTGATCAGCTTTATTTTATTGATTTTTTTATTGTTAATTGCGATTTGTAGCTCAACTCTGGTCTGGGACAATTGATATTGAAAGAAGAGATGGAAAAGGAGAGTCGTGATAGGTCAGCCCTTTCTGCCAGTCGTTATGATTCTCCAGGTAATTCATGTAGTCGATAAAGCTGATAATGAACAGTAAATAATGAACACATATACACATATCAAGCAGTCTTCCAGAATAGAGACTACTGGGAAGACTGCTTGAGATACATATATATATATATCTGTATTCTGTATAGCTGTATTCTCTCCTGAAAGAGTGGCCTATTTCATTAGCTGGTTTTGGTGAGGGAAGGGTGTCATGGCTGGTCTTTTATTAGAAGAAATATCAGGTTGAGGATTTTCAGGCAATTTTGAGGAGAGAGATTTTCTAATCTAGATAAGGAATTGAGGTAAAATATTCAGTGACTGTCACATCACACACATGCTAATAGGCTGGGTTATTAAATTACAGTAACACAGTTTGCTAGAATCAGTAACATTTACCAGTGGGGCTGCATATTCCAAACACAACCAGTGTTTTGGCCTTGGCTGACATTTTGATTGGGTGGATTCCATTCCAAAAGAATACAGCAAAAGCACAAAAGGCAACTTTGACTAATTGGTGGCTTAGATTCTTGGCTTCACTGAATATTTTGATACACATCTGTGGCCTTCTCAGATCTCCAGAGAAGGGTTTGGGGTTTTATTTCACTCTCTTCATCCACTGGTTATTGTAGCACAGCAGCTGTACTTCAAGCCAAGAAGGGACAAGATGAGTCTTTTTGGAGTCATCCACTAGAGCAGCTGCCAAGCAGACCAAGATTTTGTAGTGTTCCCTATTGTATAAGTGTGTTGCCTCTATTTATAGTCTTGGGAATGCCTGTGGCTCTCCCTCACTATCTGTAATAGTGTACCTGTTGAGTCTACCTGCTCAACTCAGAGCCTCAACCTTAGCTGAGGTTGGAGGACTTCTTTGGTACCATTCCCAAAGGTGCTTATTGCTGGCAACAGCAGTTCCTCAAGCTGTACATTCCCTGCTCTTTTGTGGTAAAAATAACATTTAAAAATCAAACCATTGAGTTCTTATATGGAGGATCTTATCTGAAGGAGCTGTATTAATTGTAGAAGTGCTATTAATGATTATGGTGAAGATCTTTTTATTCATCCATCTTCTCTATCTGTATTTGAAAACACACCCTTGACATTTCTACGTTGTCTTTATCTTGCTTGTGCAATTTCTGAGTTCAATGCAAATATTGAATGCCCCCCAAATACCTTATTTCATTTTCATTTCAGATGAAAGAAGGAGGCACAGACCTCTGTTGAATCATGTCCCGTTCTCAGAAGTGCCACATTGTGTACAGGATAACTATAATTTCAGATCAGAATGCCAAATTCTCAAAGTGGTTTGAATTCACTCAGCACTGGCCATTCTGATTGTTCTCCTGTTCATTCAATGCCAAAACATCTGTCAACTAGACTGTTTCAGGATCAAAACTAATAGCCTTTGTAGCCAAAAATGGCAAGCTAAAGCATGTGAATACAGAGAGGAGGGAGCGTGGTTGTCATCTGTATCTTGTCTTGTGCAGCAGCAGAAGCTGGGATCATAAGCACAATAATAGTCACAGTAGGAAGGATAGAAAGGAAATTCATGAAAGGTTCAGAGGGTATAATGATATATAAACCATGTGGCAGGTCATGTACAATGGCATGATCAAGCTGCGTGTAACCTTGGAAGGTTGTGATGAATTTGGGGCTGAGATGTGAGTTTCTTAAAGTCAGTGTGTCTCACTTGGTTATGTGTATGCTTAGCTCTTTTAGCTGTGTTTTTTTTTTTTATGCTAGTTGATTCCTTAAATGCTCTTGTTTGTGAGTTTCCATGGGATTTTTCCAGTAAAAGATTTTTCCCTTCCTCATTCAACAGCACATGCTTCAGCCTCCAAAACCTCTTCCCTCCCTGGCTATGGAAAAAATGGACTTCACAGGGTAAGGAGATGGTGACTTGGAGAAGCAAAAGGTGGCTTTAATTATCCATGGTATTTATTTCTGTATTAACTGTATTGGATTTTCAGTTTGATCAAGTTTCTTATAAGACCATCCAAAGTCAGACAAAACCTGATTTCCCTTCCCACAAAGTACATTGCTAAAAAAGGAAGAGTAATAAAAGAAACATTGTGAAAGTTGAAGTGGAAATAAAAGGCTTAAAGCAATTTATTTCTCCCCATAAACCAACCTGCTTGTGAAATCCTGAACGGTGAATTGATGTTTGTGTCCCTCTTTTCCTGTTACAGCCGGTGTCTACAGATTTTGGTCAGTACAACAGTTATGGGGATGTGAGTGGTGGTGTTAGAGGTAAGACCGAGGAGCCTTTACATGCTGCTTCATTACTAACATGTTATGATGTTCGATCATTTCTGCTCTTTTGTTTTAAGGCTGTGGATGTGGTTATCATGTATTTGCTTAGTGCATTTTCACTTCCTCTGGTAAATTAACAATTAACTCAAACTCTGCAGATACCTATTAAAAAATTTGGGTTTATTTTGCTAAATCTGCTATCTCCTTGTGTATGCCAAAGGACTGCTTTAGCATTGGTGCAAATGGAAAGCAGGTAACGTGTAGATTATCAGGAATATGTATTGAGTTCTCTAATGGTGCTTTCTTCCTCTGAAAACTGCCATCCATTGCACAGTCTGAAAGAATGAGCCACAGTGAGGAAAGGAGGATAATGCTTTCTAATCCTTGTTGCTGATCATGATTTTCATTACGGCTTTGAGCTAGATGTGGTATCAGTCATTGCCTAATAAAAAATAACAATGTTTATCAAAGTTGTGAAACTTTGAGACGTAATGTTTTGAAATGGATTGAGCTGTGAGAGAGGGAGAGGCTAGTCATCTCCAGGGTTAGATTGCTCCCAAAGGTATCTTAGATACCTTACAATCAGGCATCTTCTGTTGGTGGTCACGTCTCTTTGGTCATATCTTCTTTAGAGGAATCTAGACAGCTACCTGATGGCAGAGGTTAGGTGAGATGAATATTGCTCTACATTTGAATTTCAGTTGGCTCTTTATTTACTTGATTGCGGTTTTGTGTCTCTTAGTATTTCCAAAGGGGCTTGGTTTTCCCAAATAAAAAGCCTGCTCAAAATGAAAAGGGCTGCAATATTTGGAGTGTTTGATTCTTTACAAACTAAGCCCAAAAGTGGGAAGGTTGCTGGCCTCAGAGTATCAGGTGGGATTTTGAAGAGATAAATTAGACCAGAAGACACAAGGATTATCTGGTAGATTGTGACTGATTCCTGTTCTTCCACACTTTAAAGCTGATGAGGTTTCTCTTTTGCTTTTCAGATTTCCAGGTACAGTACAGGTTTTCATCAATCAACTGACAACAGAACTAAAAGCATCTACCTGTTGAAGTCTGAATTTCTGCTACAGGGAAGGGTTTCTTAAGACAATAGCTTTGACTTTCCTGCATGTTTAAGCATAATCACCAATGTAGATTCTTATCAACAAAAACCAGACACGGCCTCAGATTCCTCCTTGTTACCTCCCCAGAGCTGGGTTGAGACAGCTCCTACCAGTTCTGTGACTTGCTCTGTAAAATCCACTGTCTCTTGATCTATGAGTTATCTGTAACAGTCCTCTCTGGACAGCTGAGGGTGGATTTATTTCAAGCCTCTCTAGTACCTACCCAGAGACATATAGAAAGTCTCTTCTGGAGGCAGTTTTTTCCCATACCAGGAGCCTTGAACTCCTCATTTTTACCCTGGAATTTGCTCTCCAGACAAGATGGCTGATAAATAGTTTTCTGCAGTGCTGCCATCACAGATGAGCCAGCGAGAGGTGTGCTTGCAAATACAAACCATTTTACTCCAAATACTGTCTTCAAGGGGATTTTTTTCCAGAATGGTTTGAGTCTGGCTGGCTCCTCAGCACAATCACCATATGAAATGACAGTTTAAGAAAGGGTTTAGTTACTTGGATGATATTGTTAATGGTGTATCAAAATCATGATGATTGGAAAGAGAGTTTGATTATAGGAGGAGAGAGGAATTGTCCATGTATTGTACTCCAAATGTTATTTCATTAGGATCAGTACCTGTGTCAAAAAAGCACCTTTTTACCCTCTCCCTCTTTGTGATCCTAGTAATACTTTCCCATTGTAGAGACAATGCTGGTAGGCTCAGTGGGGAACTGTCACCAGCCTTAGCAATGACAGAAGGCTCTGGTGGCAGAGAGGATCTAAGGATCCCTCTGCATGCCTCAGGGAAGTAGTAACAGGAGCCATGGCAATGATCTATATGATAAGACTAAATATTAAGACTTGAAGGAAGTCTCAGGGCAAATTCACCTTTGTTTTCACCACTACTTGAGTGCCTTTACCCTCTGTGTGTGTAACCTATGTGTCTGATGTATACCTGTATCTGATGCAGTCCCTTCCGGATGGTCATGTCCCTGGAATGAGAATGGACAGAGGAGTATCTATGCCTAACATGTTGGAGCCAAAGGCAAGTGCAGATGTTATTCACTTTCCTTCAACACAGTGAAGGTTTGACTGTGAAATGCAGATAAAATATGGGAAATGTCTTAGTTCCCTTGTTTTTCTTTACCTCACCTCAGTCCCTGCTCCTTATGTGCCAAACCTCTCCCTTTGTTCTGGACTTTGCCTGTTACAGGTGTTAGTACTCAGGCAGGCTGAGGGCAGCCCAGAAGTGTGCTTCTGGGGTTAAGGAGGCTTTACCAGAGACTAAACAAAGATGCTGAAGATGCTCAGTAGCTAGTTCTCTGTCAAGCTTCGACTAGCCAAAACAGCAGGCCAAAATCAATGGGAAAATCTCAGGTCTTTCAGGCTGGAAAAGTGATGCAGAATAGTGGCTCACAACACACTGTTGAGGCTGTCTTAATTTCAACATTAATGCAATACATGGATCTTTGTTTCAAATTGGAAGTTACATAGTATCCTAGAATGGTTTGTGTTGGAAGAGACCTTAAAGCTCATCCAGTTCCAACCCCTGCCATGGGCAGGGACACCTTCCACTAGAGCAGGGTGCTCCAAGCCCCTGTGTCCAACCTGGCCTTGAACACTGCCAGGAATGGGGCAGCCACAGCTTCTCTGGGCACCCTGTGCCAGTGCCTCAGCACCCTCACAGGGAAGAGCTTCTTCCTAATGCCTCATCTACATCTACTCTCTTTCAGTTTAAAGCCATTTCCCCTTGTCCTATCACTACATGCCCTGTGAGAATTCCCTCTCCAGATTTCTTGTTAGCCCCTTTAAGTACTGGAAATATATATGTGGATCTCTATATAGACATACATAGAGAGATACATGTCTCTCTGGGTCTGTTCTTTAGCTCTCAGAATTATTAGCCTGACACCTTTCAATAATGTTGAATTCCCTAGAGAAGAAATTCTTCAGGAGATTTATTGGAAAAGAGGCAATGTCAATTGCATATAATTTAAGATATTAATGAAAATGCTTTTGCAGCTATGTCTAGAGATATGAGTCAAAAATCAACAATACACAGAGGGGATTCAACCAGGGCTGTGTTTCAAATCTTACAACTCTATTGCGGGTGAACCTTCCAAGAAATCATGATTTTGCCAGTTACAAAGATCAGCATTTCTGCAGTTGAGGAGCTCTTTTGCTAACCAAATGACTATTTGTGCTTCCAAGTCACCTCCAGACAAACTGTACAAGGCAATAACCCCAGCTTTATAAGCTGAGATCCCAGTGTGATGTATATTTACAAGTGTTTTTATATATTATATACATAAGACCTTGGGGACATCCCAACTCCTGAGTTACTGCTTTTTACTCCAAATAATTTCTCTTTCAGTGCAATAGAAATTCTTACAGCCACCACTGCTGTTGATGCACCCAGTGATTTGGAATGTTATTTTGGGTGACAAATTCTGTCAGTATTATTAGTGATAAAATTGGTGGGAATGCTCATGAGATAGTAGGTCACTCTCTGTTGATGGTTATGAAGGTGATGCTAGACCCTCAGCATGTGTGAATTGGCAGCATGTTTATTGATCTCAATGGTCCAACACTAATTTAAACCTGATAAAGTAAAAAGTCAACGTGAAAAATGAAAATTAATAAACTCAAGAATGGCCAAATCTTACCAAATGGTCTCCAGAAAGGACAGAATTTGTGCATCCTGCCACCCCAGGTTGAGATATGCCTTTTTGTGAATATATATCTGAATATAAAATGTACCTATGACCATAGATCTTGACTTAAACTCTGCCTGTTTTAATATGAAAAGTTATATTTTAGTTTCCTATAATGCTGTATATAGTAATGGTAGCCGTTTCCAGTATCAAACATAAACAATGTAATTCCAAGTAATAGACTTAATTGTACAATTGTGACAATGTCAGAATCTCCTAAGAACCATATCTTACAATTGGTATGTAAGCACACGTCATTTAAATTCTTACTACTTACAATAAACTCAGTGGTGTGTTCACTGATGCCTGAATCTTATTTATTATAGTTCTGAAAAGTTCATTGGGATAATTGTTGGCAATGAAATGAACTTAATGGCCTAGTGCTGCACCAACGTTGGTTAGGTGGAATTTCTTCTGATGTTAAAATAATGTCATTCATAGCATTTGGTAATAGCTCAGTTATCTCTCCAGGAGGGATTTGGTGGTCTCACTCTTGTGGGCAAGTAAAACAAGGCCCATCAATAACAGTAAAGGCTGAGCCAGTCACCACTGAAGTCTGCAGAAGAACTTCAGCAGGGGTTGGATGAAGAGTCTGGGAATGCTGTTTTCCTGCTTGGCAGAGACATGCAATGACATGGGCTATAGAGATGCTCTGTCAGGTGGAACATGAGCTCTCTTATGTCATTCCAGGCATTTAGGGAAATGGGTGCTCAAGGAAAAAAATCCTAAACCAGACTTTTATTTGCCAGGGGATGATTCGAGAAACTGATTCTAAGGCACGTGGTTTTCAGAAAGCCTTTCTAAGCAGCATTGCTTCTATTGGAGGCCCACAGACAGTAAACATTTTACTTCAAACAAAGAAGATATACAGATAAAACAAAAGTAAAATCATTTATGCATTCAGGAATTAATTACTGACCAGTAACTGATGTGTGTAAGTTCTGGACATTCTTTGCAATGTAAAGGGAAATCAAGGGAAATGTTAATGGGAAGTGTGCTGACTCTTATTCTTCTGAAGCAGATGAAAGTGTGTAAGACAAATACATCTACAAAAGTATCTTCTTTAATGCATGTAAGTATGGCACAGCCAACAACCACAGCAGGCAGTTCTTTGCTCCAAAAAGCAAAGAAAATAATGTGATGAATTTGATTGAATGCAGTGGCCCCCAAGAATTAATATCTTGCGTATTCAGAGTTGCTGCTTTTTTATGTACTTTCATCTGTTTCATCTTTTAAAAGTCCACTAAGTGTCTGTTTCCTTAGAGCTGTCCACACTTGGCAACCAGTTAGACCAGTGAGGAACAAATACATTTGCCTTAATAAACTTATACACTGATGGATGAGAAAGTATATTGACTGGAGAGTTCTCTGATCAAAGCCAGCCAATGTATTAGATGCACATTGCGGGGTGGGGAAGTACCGAGTACAGGATGAAGCAGTTTGGTACTAAACAAGTTCTTGCTATGTCACATTTTGTTCTTTCTGCTTTAGAATATAAATACATCTCTTTTTCCCCCTTTTATACATTGTTAACAGATTTTTCCATATGAAATACTCATGGTGACCAACAGAGGGCGAAATAAAATACTAAAAGATGTAGACAGAACCAGGCTCGAGGTAAGAGAAGCAAGTTCCTAAATCCCCTTTCCTGCTG